AAGGCAGCACAGACACAGACACAGCACAACACCCAGCTCCTGCCAGCACAGCCCTGCAGCCCCAGCAGAGCCCCTCTCCAGAGAGGGCCTGGGCACACCCCTGTGCTCCAGCCACTGCAGGAAGAGCTAAGAACCTCCTGAAGCAGTTTCTCCTCCACCAGTACGTGTGAATGAAGACCCTCCACGGACAGAATCTCAGAAAATCTGTAGCTGGGCAGCAGCACACAGAGCCCAGCTTCAGGCAGGTGATGCCTGAGGGGCAGGGAGGCACCTTGGGCTCATGTCCCTGCAGACCCCTCAACAGCTGGGGGTGATGCTGGTGCCACAGCATATCACACCCCCATTCCATCATCTGTGGTGAGGAGTTATTCCAGCTGGGGGGAAATAACCTGGTGTTATTCTGATCCAGGTGCATATTAGCACTTTTTCTGGCTCACAGTTGGCAACCTATGGTTTTTGCAGAACAGAAAGGACAGAGAATTTCCTCCTCCATGAGGCTTCCCACACTCTGAATCCAGCCTGAAGAAAACAGATGTCCCATTGCAGTTATTCCAGTGGGAATGGATGATTCCATGCCCAGGGCATTCCCAAGGGATGAATGATCCTGTCAGCCAGGGAGAGAAGCTGGCACGAGAGGCAGCCCCGGCTGCCCAGACCCCCTTTCCTGCACTGTCAGCAGAGAATCAAACCAAACACAGGGCCATATGGTCCCTGTGCACTGCTTGACACAGAGGCACCATGGACAGAACATCAGCTGCAGCGCTTAGAAAATTATTCCTTTGAGTGAAAAATTACAAATATAAAAATAAACTTCCTTAAACCACAAGACACCATTCGTATTTTAACACTTTCACAAAACACACAGATTTAGGTCCAGCTTTAGACAACATATAAAAGCATTTTCATTTGATGTTTTTAAAATGCATGATTAAACCCAAGCACTCCACAACCAACCTCTGACACTCTCCCTCTACCCCAGTGTGGGGGGAAGGTGCCTCCGCCAGCACAGTCCCTCACTGGGGCTCAGACCTTCACGTTTGACCCACACTGGGCAAAGCCCTTGTCATCAGGCTGCCAGACTCTGGAGAGACCACCCCTGTCCTCGACAGCATGTTATTTAATAGCTCCTTCTGCTCATGCAGTGCTCATGGATTGCCAGAGCAATCCGAGGAAGGATTTATTGAATTTTTTAAAAACTTTTCCAGCAGGAAGCAGGTTTTCTCATTTTGAGGCTTTGTTTCCTACTTGGTCTCTGCATTTCCTGAGGGAAGCAAAAAGGGTTTCTAAAAAAGAAGCAGCCTCTTCCTTTTAGGTCCTTTACACCACCCTGACTGACTTTGTTCTTCCATGACAGGCAATAAAATCACTCAGAGCAACCCAGACTGGCCAAGAGCATCAGCCCCGCGCTGCAGAGCCCCGAGGACAGAGGTGGGGTGCCAGGGGCTGTTCCACACCGTGAGATGTTCCCCCACAACTGCCCTGGGGCAGCTGCTGCCCTGGCTGGAGCCAGGCTGGCCTCAGGCACCTGTCTTAGTTACTGTGCCCCCAGGAACAGGCATACAGGGTATAAAATTCAACTATTCTCTCACTTTTATGGCCACAAAGCCCATCTTGAACCTGTTATTTGGCATCTGAGAATGCACAATGCTCAAATATTCAGAGTTAAGCTGTCTCTAATTTGAGTATGATGACCATATGAGTTCAATTAATATTAACTGCAGGCTTTCCTTTACAGTGAGCAGAGCAGCTGCCATCCACACAACGGAATTTGCAGCTGCTGTCCCCTGCTGCTGTGGGGTTCTGCCCCCACAGAGTGGCCCAAAATCACTCTATCTCCAAGGCACTGCAATTAAGAGCAGCTTAAAGGTGAAACCATTATCTTCCAGGCCCTTCAATGCTCTCGGGGACTGAAAAGAACGGGACCCAACCATAAAGTTCAGAGGAAATATGCCCCAGGAGTCTAGGACAGCAGGGACCATCAGCACCCCACCAGCCAAGGTGCTGGATGGCCGTGACCCTGCTGCCTGCCCACCTGGCCGCCTGCCCCCTGCCCCACTCACAGCCCTGCTCAGCTGTGCCCTGCACCCCGAGGCGCCCCAGCCCCACTCCCTCCCCAGGGCTGCAGGGCAGGGCGCTGCCTGCCCCGCGGATCCGGAGCTCTGGACCTGGTCAGGCCCTTCCAGGGAGAACCGCGTGGGACCGCGCTGCTCCGGCAGCGCCCAGCCCCGGCCAGCCAGACCCGGCCCGGGGGATGAGCCGCACCCCGGTGCTCCTGGTGCTGCTCCCAGCCCCACGGCGGGAGCTCTGCAGCACCCGGCCCGGCCCGGCTCTGGCAGGGCAGTCACCGCGAGGCTGGCTGGCGTACCGAGTGAATATTTTATTTTACACAACATAACAACACAGCGTTGTTGCTCCTGTACAGCATCTGCCTAAAAACAAAGGCAACACCATTGTCACGGAAAAGAAATATACAGTCTGACCGGTTTAAAAAATATCATTTTACTGATTGATCCAGAAGTGGTTATTTGTTAGCTTGGAGGAAATTGCATTTCCTTTATAAAAGGCTTTATCTGTGAAAACTCTCTTTTGTTTTCTGCTACTGCAGAACCAGGAAGCCAGTCCTAGAGCAGGGAAGGCACTGGTGCTGTTTCGTGCTTTTTTTCGCCCCTTAATCTTTTTTTCCTTTTTTTTTTTTTTTTTTAAATCTCTGAATGTTGCCTTCGGTTTTGATATTAAATAAAACCAAATGAAAACAAAATAAACCCCCATGTGCATTGGGTGGCTTATACAGAACCCCGCATGAACAAGCCATTAATCAGCGAGACAGCAGTGGACATCCAAATCCAATTCCCTGGGAAAGGGAGTTTCACACAATGTTTGGTGTTTTAGTTAAAATAAAAATTAAAAAAAAAAAAGAAAGAAGAAAAAAAAGCAGGTCACACAGTGCTTTCCAATATCCACTCAGAACTGGAGAAAGTTGCTTTTCCGCTATCGGCCCCGGCGCAGTCTGCCTGGAGCAGCATCCCGTTCATGGACATGCTCCGCTTGGAGCGCAGGCCGCCGGCGCCGGCGCCGCGGGGCTCCAGCAGCTCGCCGCCCAGCGAGCGCCGGCGCTTGGCTCGGGCCGCGTCGGCCGGCAGAGTGAGGAACTTACTTGGCTTCGATTGTGCTCTTTTGTACGCGGGGGCCGCGGGGGCCGTGTCGGGGGGCCGGCTGGCTAGCTGCAGGGCTGTGGAGTTATTTCTGTTCGAGTTCTGGGGCTCGCTGCTGCCGCCAGCCTCGCCCTGCGCCTCGCCGCCGGGCTTCGGCCCCGACTTTCGCTTCTGCTTCTGCGAGAGCGGAGTGCTGGAAGTCCAGGCGGGAGGCAAAGCGGAGGTAGTGGTGGCCGAGTCCTGGCTGGAGCCGGTGTCTGGTGACTGCGTCACACCGTCGCTGGCAGCCTTGCAGCACTGGATGCCCTCCTCGTGCCCGAGCGCCTGCTTGGACATGGACTGCGACAGCACCCCGCTGCAGCCCTGGATCTGCGCCCCGTTCGTCTGCGAGTACACGTTGCTGACCTTGGTGGCCTTCTGCTGCCCGTTGTTGTTACACACCTTGTAGCGGATCATGAGGATGATGATGAACACGAGCACGGATGCCACAATGATCCCACCAATGATGATAATCATGGTCCCACCCAGGAACTGGGACTGCATGAAGTGGCAACGCACGTAATCCTGCTCGGTGGTGAACTGCGTGCAGCCCACGACTCTGGTGGCCGTCAGCGAGGTGATCCCGTCATCGTAGATGGCCAGGACGCACAGGTCGTACATCGTCCCCGCAGCCAGGTTGTTGACCAGAAAGGTTTTGCTCGTGGGAGGTATCATTCTGGGGGAGAAGGAAACCAGTTTGAATGAGCTGGCGGACACATCGGCACCTTCCCACCCTGTGGGGCAGCCCAGGCCACGCTGGGCACCACCACGGCTTGTCTGTCCACTGTCCCCATGGGGCTGATCTCCACTCCCCCAGCAGCTCCTGCCTGGCCTTTGATGTAGCAGCGGTGACTACCAAGGCCCCTGGCATGGCTCAGCATGGCAGAGCCGCCCATTAGAACAACCATATCAAAAACACAGAACACAGGATCACAGACTGGCTTGAATTGGAATCAACACTTAAAGACCATCTAGTTCACCCTTCTGCCATGGGCAGGGACACCTTCCATTGGACAAGGGTGCTCCAAGCCCTGTCCAGCCTGGACTTGGACACTTCCATGGATGGGGCACCCACAACTCTGCAGAAGCTGTGCAAGCATCTCGCTGTCCTCACAGGGAAGAATTTTTTTCAGCTATCTGATCAACATTTACCCTCTTTCAGTTTAAAGCCAGCACCCCTTGTCCTAGTAATGGATAAAGAAATTCACGGAAGAAATGACCAAGCAAAGCCAGTGCTGAAGGGTACACAGCTACACCTGGCAGCACAGTGTGCCCCGGCACTTCCCCAGCACGGGCATCACCAGAAAGTGCTGTGAGGAACTCACAGACACTGTCCTCCCCGTGCTTCCACAAAGCTGAGCACATTAGGAACCATTTAATCCATCTACCTTCACAACCTTTCTCAGATTAGTTCAGAGGATTAGAGGTCCATTTGGATTATCTAAAAATATCACTGTTCTAAGTAATTTTCCCATTTGTGAGCAGCAATGGCACGAGTCCTTCCTGAGGCTCCCACCATGAGCTGCCAGGGCCGGGTTCTGCTCAGCTGGCACAGCATGGCACAGGAACTCCAGCAGAGGGGCTGCCCAGGCCAGGGCCACACGCCAGCACCAAGCACCCAGCACGGTCCCACATGGGCAGGCTGGGGCTGCCTTACCTGTAAACAAGGGAGTCATCGTAAGTACCATTGTACTGGATTTGAAACATACGTATCCCAGGTATATTCCTCTGAAAATTGAATTTCAGCAGAGCCGTGGAGGACGTCGCTTCCGCGACTACCACCTTCTTATCCTGGCTGACTTTAGTATCCCCGTTGCTACTGCTCGCGTTGGAGCCTGACTTGGTGGATGTGGAGATATCCGAGGAGCCCGGGTCAGGCTCGTGGATGTGGTTTGTGCTGTTCAGCAAGTGGGGGAGTTTGATGATGTGCAGGTCCACCGTCTGCGTGGCCTCCCCCGCTGGGTTGGAAGCAATGCAGGTGAAGGAGCCCGTGTCCTTCACCGTCGTGATAAGGATGTCGAGCGTCCCGTTGTCGTACACCGTGGACCTGGTCGCATTGGAAATCAGTTTGCCCTCAGGTGAAATCCAGTGGATTGCTGGCTCGGGGTCACCCCGGGCCTTGCAGCGCAGGGCTGCCCGCTGCCCCTCCAGCACCCGCAGCTCGTGGGTGTGCCGGGTGATGAGCGGGGGCTCGCAGAGGAACTCCTCCTCAGGGATCGACCAGAAGTACCGGCCAGACAGCAGCGTCGGAGAGGCACAGGTCTCCAGGTCATCCTCCCTGGAAAGGCGCCTCAGCCACAAAAGCTCACAGTTGCAATGCAAGGGGTTCCCACCAAAGCTCAGCGCAAATGTTGAGGGGCTGATAATTCCTGAGGTTGCCAGCACCTGAGCACGCTGGAAGAGCGGATCAGGCGGCAGCTTCTGCAGTTTGTTGGATGTGACGTCCAGCCTGGTCATCTTGTGGAGATGGGAGAAGGTCCCCTTAGGAATATGGTCAATCATGTTGTGGTCAAGACTGAGAGTGTGCAAACTGACCATTTTCTCCACGGCATCCCAAGGAATGGTTTCCAGATTGTTGTAAGACAAATCCAATTCCTCGAGAGCTAAAACATCATCGAAAGCTGTGGAAGAAATTAAAGTCAGCTGATTGTTGTTCAGTATCAAGTGGTGGAGATTGGAGAGCCCACTGAACATGTCATTAGTGATCTTAGTCAATCGGTTGCTGTTCAAATGCAGAGCCCGCAAATTGCGCAGGTCTGCAAATGCGTGAGGTGTGATAAAACTGATTGTATTCCGGGACAGCGTCAGGTCCACCAGGCTGGTCATGTTGGCAAAGTCTTTCCTTTTAATGTTTGTAACAAAGTTGTCTGCCAGCCGCAGCTCCACGGTCCTCCTGTCAATGTTGGGAGGAACGAACAAGAGCCCTTTCTTGGCACAGAGGGTGGCGAGGTTCGGAGACAGGATCTGACAGACGCAGCGCTTGGGGCAGATCTGAGCTCGCACCGCTACGCCAATGAACAGCAGAAACAAAAGCAGTTTTTCCATTGTAGAACAGATTCAAGAGCCTGCAAGGGAGAGCAGACAGCAGTTAGGCTGAGACAAGACAGACATAATAAAAAAGCCAAGACAAATAGTCTGTGGTTAAACCACGGAACTGAAGTTCAGGTAGCAGTGAGTCACACTCCCTGTGTTACCTGGTTCTTCTTCATGCCCCCATCCCAACACAAGAGTGCCTGACAGGAGCACAGCTGAGAGTCAGGGATGTTTGCAGATCCATGTATACACCCCAACACTCACAGACAAATGACAGAGTGATTGGGAAGCCACCCCTCGGGTGCCTCCTGCTAGAGCCCATCCTGCTGCCCAGTGCACCCCCACATCCCACCAGAGCCCCTGACCTCCCTGGCTGCTGGCCATAGTGACAAATGTCCAGGTATAGAAAATGAGGAGTGGTTCGTGTGTGCTTCACTTGCTAAGCTGAAACTCTCAGCGGCCTTGAAATCGCAGCAGCTCAATGGGTTTACAGCCATCTCCACTGAACATTTAAGCTCTTAATGTTATTTTCAGAATAAACTCAGAAGGAGCTAATTTTATGTCATTCAAACCCCAAAAATGCAAATAAAACAAAGTTAAACAAAAAAAACACCAGAAAACAAAACAAAACAAAACAAAAACCCAAGAAAAGCCCCCACAGCAGAGATCTAAATAAAGGCGGATCTTGGGCTAATTTTAGCTGATCACAGCTTCCTGGCTCCCCTGGGAAGCCCAGCGGTTCAAGCAGCTTTGTCGCTGACGCTGCCAGGCCCGCTCCTCGTGGGAGTGGGAGCAGGGCTGGCAGCAGCAGTGCCCACGCAGCTCAGTGAGATCTCCCACCGCCAAAGGCTCCACGGCACGGGGGCTGCAGGGCTGGGGATGCTCCTCCGTGGAACAGGTGGGAGCACGGTCCCGCGGAGAAGCACCCTCGTGTCTGAGGGAACCTGTGCCCTTGTGAGCAGTGGTGCTCAGAGGGGCCCCACACTGCGACTGAAGCACCAGCTCCCTTTGGGACCGGCACAATTATATGTGTTCGGATCAGATTACTCAGACCCATTACCACCCCAGAGATGCATTAATGAAGCTCAGCTGAAATACAGTTTCACAGCTAGCCAGAACCAGAACTCTTGAATCGTCATTGATATTTAAAGACATTTAATATTAGAATTACAATTACTGCTCCTGTTGTCCGGTCCATCCATAACCCAAACCAAATCTGTGGTGCCATGCAAGCAGAGGCAACAAAATTATTAGTGAAAATATCAGCCCTAAACCCTGCTTTTCAGCAATCAATGTACTTTTTCCTGATATTTCTGGGGACTGCAATTATTCAGGGATACTCCAACTTTTGAGTTCACACTGGAAAAACAAAAGCTTGCTGCTGTGGTCTAGAGCGGAGTCTGCTGCTGTGGGCAGAGCTGGGAGCTGCTCCCATAACCAGTATAACCAGCATAACCAGCATAACCAGCACTATTCTTGCTGCCATGACTTGTGGCAGAAAGCAAAGTGCCATGGCAGTATTCAGGTACGTTCTGAGGACTCACTTTCATGACAGCACTGCAAATCAGGGTGGCCCTGCAGGTGACAAGGACCTGGAGGAGAATGGCAATGCCAAGCAGTGAAGGAAACTGCCTGCTGCAGCCCCCAGCCCCCACTGGTGTCACCCACCAGCCACCTCCCAAAGCAGCACTGCACTTCGAGGCCAGGGACTGTCACCTGTCCTCTGCAGGACTGAACGGGCTCAGCGGCTCAGGGCACCTGCAGCACAGCCAGTGGGCTCCCTCCCTGGACAACCTCGGATGGGGACACCGCGCTCATTTAAATCTGCTGACTGCAGGCTGCCAGTTCAGATTCATGGCTGTGCTTAAAGCCATGTGCCTGGATTCAGCCAAGTCCATTGCCAGAGCTACCCAAGACTAACACAAGCTTGAGCCCAAATCAGGAAGTTCATGAGTTTGGAAAAACCATTCCAAGATGAAACTACAAACAACAGCTGGGATGACGAGGTTACCAGAGTTACCTCCCAGCAGAGGTGGGTTTTTGGATGTTGAGAGAGTTTTGCATATTGTCTCTGCCAATACCCCCAGGTCAAATGCCCAGCATAAGGCCAGAGCTGGATGCAGCCATCAGTGACCATCAGGCTCAAAGGGCTGGATGCAGCCATCAGGCTCAAGGGGCCAGACCAGCCAGTGGCCAGTTGCCAGGACTGTCCCCATGACTTGGGCTCAGGGACAGTCCTGTCCTGTGTCTCTCTCAGTGACCTGGGCAGGGAGGGGAATGCACCCACATACATCTGCCAATGACACTGAGTTAGGAGGAGGGGCTGAGCCCTCAGAGCACGGGGTGCTTACGGAGAGGTCCTGGTGGATCAGAGTGCTGAGCACCCACCCTGCAGCCCTGACTGCAACGAAGACCAGTGAGGATTTGGCATCTGGATGCCTCAACTGATGGAAACAGCAAAGCCACACCTGGATCTACATGAGGAAGCTAGTGCCCCAGGCTGTGCAGGGATGGGGATAGCCCATCCTCCCCAGCCTGGGCATCATCCCTTGCTGCAGAGGTAGCACAAACATTTCACCTCCTTGCTGAAAAACACAGAGCATTTCCTCCCAGAGTGCTCGGTGCAGCAGCCTTGTGGCTGTGCTCCACCACTGAGACATTGCAGACAACAACTGCAGGACCTGGTGCCTTAGGAGCACAGCCATCACAAAAACAAACCTGCTGAAAGTCAGCCTGGACATGTGCCCCCTCCTCTCCCAGCATACATCATCCCCCACACAAATAATTTACAGAGATAGCAGTGCTGACATGGCTTAGAGCTCATTGCAGAAAACACCTTTTTGACTAATGAAAGCAGTGTGTGATTCTCATTGCTTGAAAGCTAACAAAACAGGAAGGAAACTGCATTCATACATAAAACAAATGCCAGCTTCCTGGGAAGGTGGGCACTGCTCATTTACTGCTTGGTGCCTGCAATAGGACAAGGGTAGTCAAGCTCTTCATGTGACATTTGTGATTCACCAAAAAAGCCTCTCACATATACTACTCTTTACATCCATTCTGTTGCTACATTTGATCATTTTGAGTTATTCATCTGTCTATAAAACCTAAGTTTGAGCTGCTGTGGGCTGCATGGCTTATGGTCCCACAGAGTGGGAACTGTGTCTGCAAAGAGCCAGGAACCTGTGAGCCCCAGCACACTGCGGGGGGCTGGGAGCCCCTCCACCCTTCCCTCCCGCTGGAGGAGACTGACTGGAGTCCCCAGACTGCTGGAGGAAGTCTTCTCTCCCCCCATTTCTCAGGTATGGAGCAGGCCTGACAGTGGCTGGGCAGGGCCAGGGCTCATGGAGGCAAGGACCCCTCCAGTGCTGCCACCCCAGCCCACCTTCCCCTGGCCACTCTCAGGTGGGATGTCCCCACACAGTGGGTGACACTCCCATGGTCCTTCCCCTGCCAGGTATTTCCCACAGGTCTTCTGGCTTTCATGCCACCTCCAGCCCAGCTCTGAACACACACCTCCATTCCAGCCCAGCTCTGGAACACAGACCTCCATTCCATTCCATTCCATTCCATTCCATTCCATTCCATTCCATTCCATTCCATTCCATTCCATTCCATTCCATTCCATTCCATTCCATTCCCATCCCAGCTCCCTCCCCAGGGATGCCAGGCACACCCTGGCCCCAGCCCTGGCAGCTGCAGAACGGCCATCCCTGCACAGAGCTGGCATGGGGACAGCCCCAAACATGGGCAGGGTGCAGGGACAGCTGGGGCACTCTCCAGCTCCAGCACACCTGGCTCTGTGACACCCACCAGGGGACTTCCATCGTTCCAGAGGAGCCACCCACTCCTGGGTGACAGCCCAACAGCCCCTGCTGAGTCCTGGGGCACACAGAGCCTCTGGCCAGCACTCCCTCGGGGCAGACTCCCACCACAGACCTCTGACAGCTGCTGGGAATGGCCAGAGTGAGAATGGCACGATCATTCCGAGCCCCTGCAGCAGTGCCAGGGCGAGCAGCAGGCACAGCCTGGCACCCAGTCAGCAGCAGGCTGTGGGAATAACTACCCACCTGCTCTAGCAGCAGACAGAGGTCAGCTGAAGTGCTAATGAATTCAAAATTCCTGCCTGGAATGGATCCAAGGAACCCAGGACTGAAATGCCACGTAATGTGATGGCTCCCTGTGCCCAGCATGCTGCATTTGCCTCCTCTTTTTTGGGATATGAAATGCAGCATCTCAGCATCTGCTAGTGTGCCCAGCACTCCAAAGGGTCATTTACATATTGTGGACCACACAACACATGGGAGCAGCAGAATCCATAAGACAGCCATTAATTAGAAAACAACTTCCACTACATCCAATTCCTGTTTGGATGGCCAGCATGCCAGGGATGCCCAGCGTGCACACCAGGAGCTGCTGGAGCCAGCTGCCAGCTCAGGGCCTGGCTCAGACATCATCTGTCACTGCTGAGGTCAGAACAGAGCTACTGACAGCCCTTCCCACCCAGCCAGAAGGATTGGTGGGAAGGAATCCACCCAGAGTCTTTGCAAATTGTTTCGTGATGGAGGAAAAAATAGTCCGGAAGCTGATGATGTTCATCTGCTGGGGATGGAGGAAGGGAAATCACAGCACCAGCCACCGCAGGCACCACGCAGCCATGCCAGAATGTGGAATTAAGAGGAGATTCTGGGATCTGCTGGGACCAGTGAAGGGGACAACAAGGAGCTCCCTTTTCACGAAGGTCAGTGGTTTGTAAAGGTTGGTGGGTTCTGCTAAATTGAAAACAAAGTACCTGAGAAAAAAAAAAAATTGAATCAAGGAAACTCAGCCCAGCCAGAAGTTTGCTTTGGCAGCTGTGCTAGCCACCCAGTGCTGAGCTGGCCAGGATCACCATCCAGGAACACCAGCCAGGACCACGAGGCTACATTTGACACTTGCTATGGGACTGGACAGGTGAATCCCCATGGGGAGCCGTGAGACTGGGAAATCCTGTACCTGGTCCTGGTTAAATGGCTTCAAACAGCATGAACCC